GAAGATAAGTTCGCTCGTGAAAATACCTCCACCTTCTTTGACCAGCTAAATGCGGTCCTCGATTCCAAGTACGATACGTCCGAAGACATGCCGGACCACATCAACAAGTACGATACCCTATGGAATCGAATGCAACTTCGTTGCTCCTCTGCTTCGGAAACCGACCGATACGCTCTACCGTTTGTTTTTAAATCGGTATTTGAGTCAACAGAAGCCAAGGCCGCCGTTCTCCTCTGTTCCCTGCCCCCGTCGATGAGCAACATCGTCGACAACCTCCAAACCAAGGAGGACCTTACCTACAATCATGTCTATAACAAATTGTTGGACTTGAAATCCTCGGTTAATTCTGAGGATGATAAGGCGTATAAAAGCGCCGATGTCAAAGGAAAAGGAAAGGCTCGCGATACGGTCCGTCGGCAACCAGCCGAAACGAAGGAATGCTCATACTGCAAAAAGCACTACCCCTCTGCTCGCAGTGAAGGCCACTCCTGGAATGAGTGTAATAAACTCAAGGCCGACAATGAAAAGCGAAAGAAGAAAAAAGGCCGACACTCGGCTAAGATCGGAAAGGAAGAAACTCCTGAATCGGTCAGTACCTCTACCTCCTCAACTCCAACGCAAAAGACCCTCCACCCAATTCAATGGGTTATCGATACTGGCGCAAGCTCACACATGACCTCAAACCTAGACCTTCTTATAAACTTCGAACCTTCACAAGGAACCGTTAAGTTAGGCGATGATTCGGTAATAGAATCATGCGGCCGTGGAACAGTGGAGCTTAAGGCCAAAACATCTGATGGCCGGACAGCCTCTGTCTTTCTACAACGGGTTCTTTGGGTTCCTAAGTTGGGTTCTAGCAACTTGTTGTCGTGGCGCGCTATCGTTTCTTTGGGAAAAGGTTTTTCTTTGCGGAGTTCTGGGAAGGATATGTATGTTTTTAGGGAAAATAAAACAGAGGTTCTATGGGGAAAGCTTGACGGACAGGACTATGTTGTGCAAGAGAAAAAGGAAACGGCAAATAAGATGACTTACAAACAGTGGCACGAAGCCCTTGGACATCTATCGCCGCAATACCTCAAAGCCGACCACTACTCCGACTCTCCCGCTATTCCCACCGTTCCAAAGGACTGGCAATGCGAAACCTGCATCACCTCCAAATCAACTAAGTCAAAACCAAAATCAACTGAGAAGCGATGTGACACACCCTTCGAGTTAATTCACTCCGACCTTAGTGGACGATTTTCGAAACCCTCCTTTGGCAACTCCTGGTACTATGTTACCTTTATCGATGACAATACACGCTATGCATGGATCTATACCATAAAAGCGAAGTCCAACACGGTAAAAGTGTTCGAACAATTCATCAAGGAAAGAATAACCCAGGACTCTACCACCATCAAAAGATTCCGTACTGACAACGGAGGCGAGTACATCAATGACAAGATGCTTAACCTATTTCAGAAGCATGGAATTGTGCATGACAAGACCCCTCCTTACTCACATGAATCTAACGGTGTTGCCGAACGGTACAACCGTACCATCATTACATCGACACGCTCTATGTTGACTGGACTTACCCTTAGCCTTTGGGCTGAAGCAGTCTCCACCGCCGTCTACCTTAGGAACAGACTTCCTAACCGAGCCATAGGAAACTCAACGCCCTATGAAGCTATCTACAAAACAAAGCCGTTGATTAACCACTTGCGCCCATACGGGACCAAATGCTACGTCCATATACCTGAGGAGAAAAGAAAACCTGGAACGAAGCTACAGCCCCAGGCCTTGGAAGGATATCTTGTCGGTTATACCTCCTCCGACAAAATATACCGGATATATATACCATCGCAACATCGGATCTCCGAAACTAGACAAATCCATTGGACGACCAAGACGATAATACCGCTTGACCCAATTGAACCGACGGATCCAAGACAACCGATCCATACACCAGAGACCTTTGCGACCATTACTCTTCCCTCTTTCCAGACCGCCTTGCACCCTCGCGATAAGCTCCAAGAAACAGAAGATAACGACCAACATCCATCACCATCAAATTCACCTTCATCAACACCCTCGTTAAAAGATTCCCCTCCTCCGTCACCTAAAATTGAGCCTCCAGAAGAAGTTGAACGTCCATTGTCACCCTTACCACTACCGGAACCTCCAATACAGGAACCACCCCCGGTAGAAGATGAACAAAGACGAACTCGATCAGGAAGAGCCGTACGCCCACCGCAACGATATGGCAGAAACGCCATTGAAATGCCAGACGAGGACCCCACCACCTATCACCAAGCTATAAATAGCCCCTACCATGACCAGTGGACCTCAGCTATGGACTACGAGATTTTAGCCCTTGAGAAAAGTGGAACCTTTGATGTTGTTGATAAACCAATAGGACGAAAGATAATCGATAGTAAGTGGGTTTACAGAGTTAAAAGAAACGCTGATGGCACCTTAGAAAGGTATCGAGCAAGAGCTGTCACTAAAGGATTTGGTCAAATCCCTGGCTTCGACTTCGAAGAAACCTTTGCCCCCGTCATACGTTACGAATCTCTCCGCTTCCTGCTCGCGATATGCGCTAAAAACAAATGGCGACCGCGACAATTCGATGTTAAATCCGCTTTCCTATACGGTGAATTGAAGGAAGAAGTTTACATGCGACCGTTACCTGGGTTCGGTGACGAAGGAAAAGTATGGAAACTTAATCGATGTCTCTATGGACTTAAGCAATCTGCAAACAAATGGTATGCTCTCTTTGCCAGATTCTTGACCACCAGAGGATTTACGACATCATCCCTTGACCCATGCATGTTCGTTCACGATAAACAAGACATCTACGTTTCAATTTACGTTGACGACATCGCCATCCATGCAGCCGACACCCCCGAAGCTACATCTCTCATAGAAGACCTGAAAACGGCATTCGAGATTACAGACCTAGGGGAAGCCACATTCTTACTCGGCTTGCACATCGCATACGCACCAGACGGGCTACATCTTATCCAAGAGCAATACATCAAGTCAATCCTCAAATGATTCTCAATGGAAAACTCTAATAGCGTTTCTACACCCTTACCAAAAGGCATTCAACTTACGAAAGGAACCGAAGACACACGCATTCCAGACCCTTCCATTTACCAATCGATGATAGGATCACTTATGTATTTGACTACTGGCACAAGACCCGATCTAGCGTACACCATATCTTTCCTCTCACAATTTTCTGCTTGTCCTACCGAACAACACCTCAAGGCCGCTAAACACGTCCTTCGATACGTTAACGGAACAAAACACATTGGACTCTTTTACCCTTACAACGCGATAAACGCTATTGATACCTACGTCGACGCAGACTTTGCTGCTTGTCTCGATACCCGCCGCTCCTTTTCGGGATACATTGTACTTCTTAACGGTGCATGCATCTCATGGCGCTCGAGAAAACAAACCTCGGTTGCATTATCAACAACCGAAGCCGAATACGTCGCAATGTCGCTTGCCGCGAGGCAAATCCAATGGTTCCGAAAGGGTCTCAAGGATATTCGTCTTGATTTACCGATCACTTTACATGCAGATAACACCGGCGCAAATTTTCTCGCAAGAAACCATCAGCTGAACGAACGAACGAAACATATCGACATACACTACCACAAAATACGGGAAGAAATCGATAATGACTCGTTCACACTCCTGCAGGTTGCTTCTTCCGATAACCTCGCCGACATTTGTACAAAAATATTAGCGAAACCGGCACACGAACGATTAATGGAACTTTTGGGCTGTAGATAATGAGGGGAAGTGTTGAATTTTCTAATTCGTTTCATATGTATATTCTCCTTGATAATATCATATATTCCTCTACTTAGTATTTCTTTTGACTATGAACATTACTACAGCTGGAGTATGTATTACGTATATTTCATATTATATTTCATGATACGATTAGGAGATTATGGTGTGTTTTCTTATCTGGTGTTCGGGTTTATTTCCTACATTTTATCCGCTCATACCACTTCAGATATATACATGTTTTATGAGATTTCCTTGGCAGTTCTTCAGGGTCAAACATGCTTCCACTTATGTTTCCCTTATATTTCTCTCAGTTGCTTAAAGGATGCACACCTGTATAAATAGGCGTCACCATCCATCCCACTTAAGAGAATCAAGGACAAGAATAACTACCAATCTACCTTCATACCAAACTCCTCCTCACTTAACGTGCCCGTGGTACACTCTCTCTACTACGTCGTATTTTCGTACAAAGTTATTAAGATAGTGCCGTACCGTACACATTTGAACAATTGCTAGCGGATAGCTTGCCTCAGCTCTCCCTGTTATTATTCTCCCACGGTGGACCACTGTGCATTGCAGGTGGGGGGCAGTGAACAGAGGGGGACGGCGAACTGCACATGGAGCATCTGTACTGTGAACCAATCGCCGCTACAAAGCTCAACAAGGATTGGTTGCGGGGGTGTGATACCTCATATATGACAACCAGGGTACTGACTGCGAGATCAAGAACTGGAACTGGGGCAGTCAAGGCAACCGGCCCACCCTCGGGAAAACCCATCCTCTCAAACTATCAATCATTACCGTTTAACTTTGAAGAGGAAAACGGTTGCTCTGACCCCCCCGGTTCTAAATCTCGCCCCGAGTACCCCATGTGTAAACCTTCCCCTCTAACATCATTGGTATCTGAGATTTCTACCCCGCACTGGGCGAGCTAACAGGGTCGGGTGTGTTTCCGGCAGGCTGCCGTCCTGTATTGTCTTGTATCCCCTGCTATGTAAAAGAATGTTCTAACATTAGCGATGGCCGAGTGATATGTCGTGATGGGCCCCCATGCCATTGTCCAGCAAGATCATAACATGAACTAATACCGACTCCAAGACGCAACCGATTTATCAGTCAAGACAACCAGCGAGTATTTGTAACTAAGGTGGGTGTGGTTAAGAACACGGTCGGAAAGGTTATCGAGGGGTATCACGACGGTCACAATGCTTGCAATACAGATCGTTAATTCTAGAACTTTGGCCCCCGCGTGCCGCCGCCGTGAAGCAACCCTCCCAGAAGATGAAAGGAAAGTCTAGATAAATATAATAAATGCACCAACGTTCAAAGAGAGAAATAACGAAAACCGGCAAGTTATGCTATACACAACACCTCCCCCATTAATAATTTTACAATCCCATCCTGTCTAAAGTTGCTCCAAGCCAATCCACAACACCAGATCAACACCACCATAAAGGCTAAAGACTGCCAACAGAAACAACCCGACGCGTAATCCGATCAGGGGGATTTTTCCGGAATAAAATGGAAGAAAAGAAAAAGGCTTGGAGCGAGTGAAATAAAGATGCAAAAACACCCTGGGCAAAACCCTCTGGTCTATGCGGCCGAAAACTAAGGCTTTTTTTAGAAGGGAAAAGAGAAAAATGAAAACCGCAACGGATAGGCAGACAAGCAGGTATGATGGGTAGGTATATACGTAGGTTGTCGCGGCCACGATGAGATACAGAACGAGGGTGCGTAAGCAAAACCCTGACTAAAAAGGTTATATGATTCGAAGATGAAAATGGGACAAGAACAAAAGGCTAAACATGATTACAAAGAAAGAAAACGAGCGACCGGGAGAGAGGGTTGGGACATGCAATGTAAGTTTGAATCGATACTGGATTTCTTTTCTCACGCGTTCGCAATATTAGCTTGAGACAGGGTGCCGCTACTGTTAGAGTTAAGCGTCCAGACGCTGCTATGACGAAAGCAAAAGGAGCTTTTTTTTTTTTGATCAACCCCATCAACTTGTACCCTCTCCATAGAAATGGGAAATGGACTTACTCCCTTCATTGCTTGATATCCATGACGCGTATGAATAGTGATGCGAGAGAGAGAAAATCGGTTAAATGTACCCTAAATTTTCGGAGGGGAAAGTGTCTTCTCGTTGCTTGAGGATGATGAGACTTCTCGGATGTTGTCACTAGGATTTAAGGGTGGAGGAGCCAGAGCTCCGTCCTGAGATTCCCCGCGAGACGGGACTCTTGTTGCACCCTCCTCGCTGGGTTTCTCGATTGGTGACCATCCACCAATACTACCAGCCACAATGGAAGGCACCATAGCAGCCGCAGCGAAGGCCGAGTTGGACCTTGATCGTCTGCGACGGTGGGAGCTTGGAGAAGGTGATGGAGGAGCGCCGTCCTCGGCAGCATGAATCTCACCCTCCGATCCGCCACGACGGAAGATATGTGAGAAGCTCTGCTTCACATTCTGGCGGCTAAACTTGAGCTGGTTAAGGCGACCACCACGAACCATCTTGAGGAACGCAAGCTCTTCGCGAACGGCCTCGATTCCCTCATTCCATTGGAAACGATCCTGGTTATGGACATAGATGTTACTGTTCTCCTTCTTGGTCATCCAGTTGGGCAGGATCTTAGCGAAGACTGGATCCGGAATCAACCTGATGATCACAGCCACAGGAATTGAGATGACCCCGAGAATAATTGAGATACCCCATTGGACACCGTTAAGCTTTGTAACACCGAATGCTTCGCCACCAACAAAGACAATCATAATCTGTCCACCAACCATAACAAAGTTGATGCCAATGAAGAACCAATTGTTCTGGACACCCTCAAAGATGTTAAATTTATTGTCAAGCCGGCGATTACTACGCATATGTTAATATCACTTCACAGAAAGGAAAGGAAAGGAAGAACCTACTTGTATTGGTTGAAAATCTGCATCCATACGAATGTATTGAAAACCAAGGTTTTGAGCACTTTTTCCTCATCCTTATTATAGCCTAGAATCCTCATACCGGCGAAATTGAGAATAAACGTAACAACAAGTTGGTAGACAGCCTGACCGAGAATCATCTTCCACATGGTAATTGTGATCAAAGGTGCCGACTTAGGATCTGGTTTGCGGTCAAGTATGACACGAGTAGGGGGATCAGTGGCCAAAGCAAGAGCAGCAAAAGTATCCATGATAAGGTTGACCCAAAGGAGTTGAACAGCGCTCAAGACAGAACTCTCATCATCAGAAGCAACGGCCGAAACGAACGTTAGAAGGACAGCAGTGATGTTGACAGTAAGTTGGAACTATCACCGAACATCAATTATGGCCACTCACAGGCAGGAATCATGAAATCTCACCTGCAAGAATTTTTTGACAGCATCGTTGACAGCTCTTCCCCACATGATGGCCTTAACGATGCTAGCAAAGTTGTCATCCATAAGAATAATCGCGGAGGCCTCCTTCGCTACCTCAGTTCCAGCAATGCCCATAGAGAAGCCGACATCTGCCATTTTCAAAGCCGGACCATCGTTAGTTCCATCACCAGTCACCGCAACAGTCTCGCCAAGCTCTTTAAGTCTGCGAACCAAAATTCTCTTATCCTCAGGACTAGAACGAGCGAGCACTTGTAGACGGGGAATGGCCGCATCCATTTGCGAAGTAGAGAGCTGTCGGAATTTGGGTCCCTCCATAACAAAGCCCCCGGGAGTATAAATTCCGCATTCGGTGGCAATAGCCTTAGCAGTGATTACATTGTCCCCAGTAACCATGCGCACAAAGACACCAGCCTTCTGGCACTCAGACACCGCATCCGGAACACCCTCACGAAGAGGATCCTGAATACCAACGACGCTCAAGAAAACCATATCCCCAAAGACATCATCAAATTCCACCTGAGATGGATCATCAACAATCGTTCGAGACTTCTCCGGGGGCCAGGAAGCAAAATCGCGGTAGACCAGACCGATGGTACGAAGAGAGCGATTGGCGTAGTTTGAAATAACCTGGTTCAAGGTTCTCCTATTCTCCTCTGTGAGTTGCGTTTCCAATACCTCAGACGCCGAAATGTCATTAACAATCCGGGTACACTTGGCCAAAAGAATCTCAGAAGCGCCCTTAACGAACATGCGATATCCGCCACCTGGAAGCCTGATAGCAGAGCCCATACACTTTCTTCCGGAATCAAAGGGTATGAGTTGAACAATTTCAGAGTTAGCACGCTCCTCATTAACCGGCCCCATGCCCAAGAAATCTCGCGCAAATCCAAGCAAAGCAGTCTCGGTTTTGGATCCAATAAACGTCACCTGGCCATTCTCCTCGCCCTCGAAAGCCGTAGAGTTGATAACGATTGACTGGCACAGAAGATCCTTAACCAGGTGAGACAGCATGGAAACAAATTCGGTGACCGAAACATCCTCTGGAGAATCCTGAGCGATTAACTGGTCCTTCGAATCCCCCCTGATTGACGTCGTAGGGCTCTTGTCACCAAAACGGGCAGCCGTCCCCAGAGTCCCCGCCACCACGCTCATCTTGTTCTGTGTAAGTGTGCCAGTCTTATCGGAGCAAATTGTCGTCGCATTTCCCATTGTCTCACAAGCACGTAGGACACGGACAAGATTGTTATCTCTCAACATGCGTGTAGTCGCAAAAGCTAAGGCAAGTGTAACAGCGAGTGGAAGCCCCTCCGGCACAGCAACAACGACAACGGTGATTGCCGTAATGAGAATGCGCATGAACTTCTGGCCCTTCTCAGAAGGTGTGTCATTACTGCCCCTAAGCTGAATCAGGAACTTGATCAAAAGAACGATAAACAGGAGTAACGCGGAGCTGAGCCAATTATTAGCAATTGCACAAATAGCGGGAATATCAATAAACTCACGCTCCGCCAAGCTTGGCAATTGCTTCAGCCAAGTTGTTCAGCTTCATTTGCAAAGGCGTAGCCTCGGTTTCCTCTCTCAACGCCATCATGGTTTTACCATAGCTGCTATGAACACCAACATTGGTGACCATAAAAGTACCAATACCCTCAAGAATCTTGCTGCCAGATAGAATGAAGCAATCCAATTTGTGAACCCCAGGCTCGTTGGCCCCAAGCTTGGCCATTACTTCATCGGCAGCGGTTTTCTTCATTTGATCCGATTCACCGGTAGTAGAAGATTCATCAGCCTTGACGTTGTGGCCCAGGATAAAGATACCATCCGCGGGTATGAGATCACCAGGCTCCATATGACAAACATCGCCAACAAGAAGGTCGTAAACAGAGATCTGCAGAGATCTGCCAGACCGGATAACCTTGACAACGCGATCTTCTTTCTACAGACCGTAAATGTCGTGTTAGTGGGATTTTACACGACTTCCAGAGGCGAAAAAGGACTTTACCTTTCTATTCAACTTGACGAATTGCCTCTCCTTCTGGTAGTCATTTCCGGCTCCCACGACAACGACGATAATGATAGCCACCATAATAGCCACTCCTTCCACCCAGTCAACTTTGGCACCTTCGCCCTTCTTATGTTGGCCGCCAAATGTCTGATACAGCCCCAAAGCCAGCGAAATTACAGCTGCGCCTGACAACAGGAGCAGTACCTTATCCATAAAGGCGATCCACATTAATTGAAAGATGTTCTTTGTTTTCTTTACGGGTAGTCGATTTTCTTTGAAAACACGCCTTCTCTCTTTAAAAGCATCACTCAGCAGATCCCCGGTACGCGCAGTCCCACCCGTCGCGGTCGGCGCAAGCGGGCCCCCCCCTGAACTCTGCCCCCCACCGCCCCCCACCTGATGATTAACCGCCTGTTCAAACGAGACTCTTCCATCAAGCAATGTTTCATCCAGACTCAAACCAGCTCTCCTATCAGTCCGTAGGCCAATCTCCAACCCCCTGAGACCTCCCAGGGCTCTCAGCGCCGCATGGCTCTTTGGCATATACAACCTCCCCAGCTGGCCAGGAGTGAATGCAAAAGTATTATCCTCCACAATAAATTCGGGATCGTCCGGTCTGTAGGGCCTGAGCGGGTCCTCATCCTCGTGAGGCGACACACCGCCCGTCGTTGTGCCCGAAGCTATGGGTTGATCCGGGACCAGAGTCACATCTCCCGCGGATGAAGGGGACTCGATGGAGTTGTCACGCGAGCGAGTCCCAGGGACCGCCAGAAGCCCATCACTCTGGGTTTTCGCTGATTTGTTGTCACGCTGAAAATAGCAAACAGACAGTCAGCAGGTGTAAAAGTGCGGTCAAAGGGTTACAATAACAATTGCTCCGTAATCACGTCAGCAGAAGTCGACTCACCATATTATCAACCATCGCCACAGATGGAGCTCTCTCACTTGCAGGGGCCGGTGGGCTGCCTTCTGATGTTGGTGGTGGATCGACTCCTTCCGCCGCCGACATTGAGACCGAAGAAAATGAAGGGCTAAAGTTGCCTCTCGCACAGTACCCAAAGGGGATGGATGCCAATTAGAGAACTACACCAAGCCACCGGGGGCAAGCAATGCTGGGTCCTAAGGCCAAAAGAAAGGGAAGGAAGCGACCAGAATTATGAGGGGTGAACAGAAGGAAAGCAAAAAGAGCGCAATCGTCGAATTGTTTGCCTCCGGTTAGTCTCTGGAAGTTGAACGTGGGAGGCCGGTGGGTTGGCCGTTGGCAAACAGACGAGGAAATGTTTTTACAAGCCTTGCCAAACAAACAACAGGAGAACCCGAAACCCTAAGCACCTCAAGGCCTGCCCAATGCTACGACAGAATAGAAGTAGGGGGAGGAAGGAAAGGGGAGGGTATTATTATGGTCAATCACTGACGTCTCCAACCGCAGGAGTCCAGCACCACTAAGAGCTCAACTAAGGAGCGACGCTTAAAGAGGGACGATGCTAGAAAGTTAGAGGAAGGAAGGAAGGAAGGAAAAGAAAAGAAAAGAAAAAAAAAAAGGAAGCCTCCGTTCTTAACAGAGGGGGAGGGGAGGGTGCAGGTAGGCTCCACTCTAGAAGAAGAAGCTCAACACTCGAGTACCCGTACTCGTACATCAGTTATGCCAAGCCAAGAAACCCAGCCAAATTGAAGCACTGCCTCAATCGCGGAGATGCGCTCGGTGTGTGGTATGGGAATGTCTTGCCACTCAATTCCAACGGCCGAAAGCTCCCTGGCGCCTCGCTTAACTCACCAAACCGGGGCGAGGCCAGAGGTCCAAGAAAAGCTTCTTTAGCGCATCCTCGAGTACGAGCACAACAGGCACCGCACGATGCGATCCCTCAGCGGACAAAATAAAAAAAACGGGTGGAAAGTGAAGGGAGAGAGAGAGTGTGTGTGTGTGTGTGTGTCAAAGTTACTTCATATGACAAGTGTGAAATAACATAATATATTATTATAGTAATAACACCACACCCGAACAGCCAAGCCCGTGAATTTGATTGCGGAACATTCATCTGATCCAGGACAAGGGGGTCGACGGAGCTGCCTCCGTCTGCGCTAGTATTTACTTTTTTGGCTTGGCTCAACAGCCACAAGTGATTGAAGGGCTCGCACTGTCATTTAAAAGCGGTCGGGTACCGTATCCTAAGTTACTGAGCACGAATAAGGTAACAGGGTTACCGTACGGTTACCACAGTAAGTGAATTACTTGTACAGCAACCATTTGGTAACTTAAATTTACTATAATATCTCCATCCACATCGTAAGACATGCCTGTACCGCAGTCTACTCGAGCACCGGAGCCCACCGTACCGAAACCCTGGGCAGGCACGACGACAATGGCGAGTCAGGAAAGAAGTAAACACTGAACACTTCACCATCGCAGAAGGGTCGGCAAACATCTCAGCATCGACCACCATACAGGTACCCGTATTCCATGTACAAGTACCGTACCCTACAAAGGAGCCAAGAAGACTGTGAAAAAACTTCTTCTCAGAGCATTCCACCCCATTCCACCAACCAACGGGCTGAAACACTCATTAGCGTGCCTTACCGTGCCAACCTCCCTGCTCCATGCCCATTTCTCCACGCAGGACCCTTTCAAATACCCTACTGGTACATAAGGTACAAGTATCATACCTGGTACAAGTGCCAGGGGAGATGTCTTCGTACAAGACAGGGATTGTTTTGCGGGTTAACCTAAATTAACTGTGCGAAAACATTATCCCTGGCACTTGTATCATAGTCCACTTCATTCATCTACAGTGCTGCACAGCACGGTGCATCCCGATTCACCCAGCAACACCTCCGACCACATACATGTACATTTCCCCCCCGCCACAAGTTAAGGGGTCGCCAAACTGGTAAGCAAGCCCAGTAATACCGGTATGGCACGCAAATCCACCACCACCAGCAATTCCTCCTCCTCCTCCTCCTCCCCCCCCAGGGTGGAACTGAATTATTTTTCTTTCTCCCTCAAGGGATCTTGCCTGCTTGCCTGCCTTCCTGCTTGCAGAAGGAGAAGAATTTTTAAAAAAAATTCGCACATCGCTAACCCAACACGTCGATTATTCCACGGCATTTCACGGGACTGCACAGCGCAGTTCTACGGTCGGTGGTCTGGAGGTGAAAAGGTAATAACTTCCCGAATCAGACCTCTCGCTCGCAGGGGCTTTACGGACCCAACATGGTGCACCTGTAGGAGGAGAGAAAAATAGCCATTTGTGCGAGAGGAAAATCCAACCTTGTGATCCCTGTGAAGTGAAAGCCAACATTCAAGAGCACAATGCTAACATACATTGAGGCTGCAGCGGACATCATCATACAGGCGAGTGGCCGCAGTTAACTGGATGCAAAGTACGAGTACAATTACCGTACCGTACCTGTATACCTGTTTGGGAACCCAAAATGGTTAGCTAAATTTTCCGAGCCCAACGCACAGTGCAATAGCACTCGTACAGTACTGGATCCGTGCGCCTTCGGGCGGGCGGCACGCGGGAGGATCGATCTCGAATGGTACCGTATACCGGTATACGGTACTCGTACTGTACAAGTACAAGTTATCGTACGTGTTCAGCATCATACAATATAGAATTACTGCGGTAAGTTACAACCATTCCTTCCATCGGTCCATTGAACAGGTGATCCTGATCCCTTGCAAACAGATCCCACGATCCGTACTAGTGCAAGTACCGTATACCAAAGCCTACGGCATCCGACTGGACCTGAGAATCTCCCGAGCATCGTCCAAAAAAAACCTTTACTGTACCCCCCCCCCCTTTCCATTCCGGTAATCCCGCGGCTGAAAATAAGGTTTCGCATCTGGGCTGCCAAGACTTGTGCCTAGGGCATCACTGTTCGACGTCACCGCCCCTTAACATTACCTGTACAGCCTTACAAATTCTACGGTGCCCGAGTATAGTACGGTACTCGATCAGTTAGCCAATCGCGTGAAAGAGGACCGAACGAACACCATTCTCCCCGATAGCCTGGCGGATGACAAAGGCCGCCACAACGCGCCACTGCGGCCTCGACTGGCCACGCGGGTAATGTGAAGACACATGAAGTCAGCAGGCCCGATTTCCTCCTGTTGTTGCACAGCAGAAGAACACCACAAAAATGCAATTATCATGCTACTCTTGTTTCAGGCTCAGGCTATATGAGGTTGGCATGTTGTTCCTGGTAGTATCCTTCTTTCCTTTTTTCCTTCCACTTCCTTCCTCCCCTTGCAGCCCCAGAAGGTTATGTTTGGATGAAGAAGGGCCACGTCCGATTTGTGAAAGCAACCAGGAGCGCCTCTCTCTCGACCCGATCTCACCGCCTTAGTCCTTAGTCATATATCCATCCACCCGGAATTTTGAAACAGACTTCCTATGGTTATGAGGTGAGGCTCTTTTCTTCTTCTTTTCTTCGCAAGATGTCACCATTACACAATGACCATTATTACATGACAATACATTACCTCGCCTCCCCTCCCCTATCTCACATGCTCCCCGTTTCATCTATTCTGAAGACCCAAGGGAGCGAGTGATATGTCATGATATGACCATGCTTGACCAGTAGCAACTCCCCACTAATCACAGCAACACAACCGAAGACGAACGTGTCAACGCCATCCAAACCATTGTCTTACCGGCAACCCATATCGGTAAGGGAATCAATTGGTGGAAAATCTTGAATAAAAAAAAAACAAAGAAAACAAGCAAACAAGAGAACAAAAACAAGTTTTCTCCGGTCGTGCGAAAAAGAAAAAAAAAAGAAAAGGGTGTCGACTATGCTACAGTAGCACTTGTACAGCACATGGAGGCACGAATATAGTAACTTACCGGCAATGTTAGGTACGGAAGCCCTCGCGATTACGACCGTGAATTTTTCCTCACTTGCGCCGCGGGAAAGTATGTAGGCCGGATTGAAGTTCACCAATTATTTCGGTATACCGCAGTAAGGCGACGGGGTTAACTGGTGCTTGTGCCGGTATAGCAACTCCAACGGTATTTACACACTAATCAAACAAACTTTGGCCTGCCAAATATCGATACGGCAATTTGCATAATTTGAGGAATCCGTTCGCTCCCCAAGACTAAATGGGACACCCGACGTCCAATCCAGCATCACCGTGTCAAAATGCCTGCATCATGTACGTTGCCTGAGGACACGTATCAACTGTGGTGATGCGCGATGGAGGGTGTGCATGCATGTGTGTGAGTTTCTAGAACCCCTTAGGGTAAATATAGGGAGGGCAGTGAGAGGGATTGAAGTGAAGTTTCAGGTCTTGGGGCAATTGTGGGGGAGGGAGGCAAGGGTATCATAGTTGATTCCTGCATGCTTTGTTCTAGGGCTCGGGTTGGCGGGTGCGAGTGGAAAAGAGACAACGGATTGTGCTGTGGAGCGAGTCGGGCCATGGCTTTGTTTGTGGTGCTCGACTGTAGTGCGATAAGTGGGCTATGGATAAGGGGGAGTAGGGTGGGGACTATTGGATTGTTTCGTCATTGCATGGTATTGTGTTTGCTGTTGTTCTGGATAGTGGCAGGCGCCGTTGGGGGGGCACACTGTCCCGCGAAAATATTTTGGATGAGGGACAGGTACTCAAGCACGACTGCTGTAGCTTTGTAGCAGCATATTCAGAATATTTGAAATATGATATCACCCATGTGCGCCTCCATGCAGGGTAGGGATTGCGCTTGCAATGCCAAACATCCTGGGCCGCGATTTCGTGCACATAGCATAGCCACCGTGATAAACGTTTCTGCTATCCGTGCGTTGTGGGGATGAGGGGTATGATATCGGCAATCTTTCGCCCATTCATGGACATCTCGATCTCTGATGCAATGCTGTCGCGACAGCATCTATTATGGTGTGTTACGGTCTGTCTGTGTGTAGTGTGTATCATATGTACAGGGTGGTATCACAACTTCTCCCACTTCTATCGCTCACTTGTCCGCCCGCTCGCTCTCTGTGCGAGGCTCAGGCCTTGACTCCTTCTAATCTGTCCGGGACAATTTTCTTGAGTATCTGCGCGTGGATGGTATACGTCAGTTGAACAGCTCATCCGAGTGTGTTATATATCGTATGATAGCTAGGAGTTGGGTCAAGGTAACGGGGAGCTCACCGCCGCCTGTCTCGGCTCAATCATGAGTGCGCTAGCTTCTACAAGCACACTCGATTCCTCGCCCTCCCCGACGAGCGTCTCAATCTTACCCTCTACCCACGCCTTCCTCCCCTCAACTTTCACGGTCTTTGCCTTCAGGACCACATAACTCCCCGCGGGGCTCGGTTTGCGATAATTCACTGTCAAGCTGGCGGTCATCGCGATCTTGTTTGGCAGAGCTGCGAAGCAGCACCTCGCGAGCCCTTCGTCTAGTATCGTTGCGAGCATACCTCCGTGAATGTACCCTGGGTGTCCACATAGTTGTTCACCCAGGTAGAACACCTGCACTATGCTCTTTCCGCCATCTTCTACGAATGTGAGTGGTGGGACTACGATCTTCCCCGGGCCTGCGAGAGTGCCTGCGGTGAAGGAGAGGTGTTTGTATTTATCCGAAATCTTCAACGTCGGTCGAGCTTCGCTGAAGGCGGGGTTCGATCTTAAGGAGGTGACGAGTGGGTGGCTGGAAATGTAGTTGTTTGCCACTATCTCTTGGGGGTCCGTAGGTGTGTATGCGTGGAGGGTCTCCTCATCTGTGAGGGCGATATATCCCTGCGCCGCCATTATGTAGCTGTAGGTTGTGAGGATGGTTATAGTAACGCCTGAGAGTAACCAGATGACGGGGGGTATGGATGTCGCTTCCTTCACTCTATTGGAGAACTTTTGATCTGCAACAAATCATTAGCTTGCATCGGTGTTTGCTATCAGGGGGTGAGCAAACGCACAAGCAGATTTCTCAATCGGCTCAAAAGATCTAGTAGTGGCAAACCGTAACACAAGAGTATTAGGAAAGCAACGCAAAGGTGAAATCAATGGTGTAGAGCATCTAAACACCCTGCCCACCAGAGCAGGAGATCTATTCAATATAACCATCTCCCTTCCCTTCCCTTCCTTCTCCCCTTGGGAAAACCACACCAAGAGCTACCGGTAACGCCAACACCCCGGAGGCCGGAGTCAAGCGAACGCGGTAGAATAGGTGAGCTTTTCCTCCGTCGGGGATTCGTAACTCCGCCGGGTGTGGCAAGGGTTTGAGTAACGGTGCCTGTCGGCTTCCCCGAGGAACAGAGAAAGAAGGTGGAAGGAATTCGAGCCAGGAAACACGGCCGGTTCCTAGCTCCAGGGTCGGGTGTGAGGGAAAAAACAAAATAGCTGGGAGATGAAAATGCCCCACACGGGAATAAGAGAAACCCTGAGTTGCCTCGGTTCGCGAAGGATGACAGGGAAAATTGAGGTTAGACTATCTCCTGCTAAACTTCTACGGTATTCTGTACCGCCAAGACGCACTAGTCCGCGCCCACCCCTCCAAGCCAAGAATTATCATCCGTTCTCCCGTTATAGGCTAGCAACAAACGGTATGTGCGATCCCGAAAGGGGTGCCAATTCTTGGCGTGGAGAGAGGAGTAATCAAACGCTCAAAGGCGCCTCTATGATACGATACTGGTATGCAGCAGCGATACCGAGGTGCTTTCCGCGCCTCCCACTAAGAATCCCCCCGTCCCCTGTGTTAAAGGCGTAAAGGCGATTACCTCGCATCTCCAACGCAACTACTCGTACTA